CAAGTTTCTCACAGGTGAGCAGTGAATTCTTCTTCCATATTTTCATCAGTTTTGTCTTCCCAACTGAATGCTATGCATCTTGCAGGCAAGAACCATATTTTCTTCTTCTTTTCTATCTACTTACAATAGAGTTCAGAACATTGTAGACCCAGGGAGTACCTCCAGTCTAGTAGATTAATGAAACATAAACATTTGGGCATATTTCCAAGGTATGAACAGAAATTATCTTGCTTTCAAAAATCTACATGACCCAAAGCAGAATGGATCTAGCACTTATAATCTTCATTTTATCACTCTGACAAATATCAACAGGTCTTAGAAAAGATATAGGGTGATTTTGTAGGGAAGGAAGGAGGCTGCAATTGCATATATAGCATGCAGCAATTTTAGGTAAACTAATTTGGCAGCTGTATGTGAGAAGAACTAGAGAAAACTGATCGGCTGGTCTGACTTGATCTGCAAGATCAAGTTGCTGGTATAAAATATCTAAGACACCCCTATTCTGAGAAAACAGGAAGAGAGAAAAGCATAACAAGCCACCATCCAGAAAAGCCCCTTATGGTAGTGCTTTGCAATGTTAAAGGACTACCTCCCCCTTCTTTATAGCCAAGCTACGCAGTCATCTAAAAATACTTTTACAAATTCTTGCTTTCAAAGTCAAAAAGATCAGGTTTCTGAAGTGTGAGCTACATAAAATGCCATATACATAGATATATATTTTATATCTATACACACATGCTCAGGTGGTACTTGTTCCAATACTACAGTCCCAGCAGTGGTTTTATTTAGTCTGGCTGTTCCTAAGACAAACACACATAGCTTTGATTAAATGCACATCCAAAAGTAGGGGAACCCATCTTGAAACAATTAGACTCTTCCACGGTAAGAGGTTTCAGGGCATTGACCTCCTCCCACTTCCTTGCATCCACTATGGAAAGAGAACAGCTGGGCAGAGACACGCCAAGCCTCACTCCATAAACACAGCCTGGAGCTATAACTCTCTGCTCTGCTCAATTTTGTTCTCTTCCGACCCAAGACACCACCCTTCCTTTATTCTTTTCTAAATGAATTCCAGTTGTTTGATTGCTTTGACTTTTTTTTTTAACCCCTGTTTGATCAGTCTTAGAGGGAGAAGAATTCCTGCTATAGTTTCTTATCTTCCCTGAAAGGAAATATTCTAGGAAGAAACGGAAAAGTGGAAGGCATTACCAAATCGCCCATCTGGTTATTGACCTTGGGTTATAGAGGCTTCTGGAGAATGTCTGCAGACATGGTTGCCTTTGCCGCCAAATTCTTGGGACTTTCTGGGCTGTCTGGTTCTCTAGGTGGTAAAGGCTGAGTATTTCTCTACTTAAATTGCCCTGGAAGCTGGAGAGCAATGTCAGGTTGTGATGTACACCAGAATAGTTCTTTCCCCCCTTGAATCCCAAGTTAATTCATCCCTGGGTAATTTACCCATGAGGCACTATCAGCAAAAAGAGAGTGTTTTCTCCACAAGAACCACACTGAAAGGTCTTCCACAAATAACTCACTGAAGTCCTCCTTTGTGCTTGGAACAATGGGAAAGACCAACACAACAACAAAAATTATATGATCCTTGGCCTCAGGGAGCTTACTATGTTGCATGGGATTCTAGTCTTTCAGAAAACAAAGGTTTTTCTTAAATGGAAACATTTGTGTTTGCCCCTGCCCATTTGATTTAATAGAATAAAGCCCAGTACAGGGGTACACGCCTGTAGTCCCAGCTACTCCATAACTGAGGCAGGAGGATCACTTCAGTTCAGATGTTTGAATCCAGCTGGACAATACAGCAAGACCCTGTCTCAAATTAATACATAAATTTTAAAAATAAAATAATACTTTAAGTTCTAAGTCAATATTTCCAGTATTTCAAAGAGAAAAAAAAGTCAAAAAAAAGACTGAGAGAACCAGGGAGGAAAGCATTCTGGGTTGAATGTAAAACCTGGGCCAACAGGTGCATATTCTGGCCTGAAGGAAGACAGCTTCATCTTCAGAAGAAGACAGAGGGGAAAGGACATTTAGGTAAGTAGGGCAGAGCCAGGGGACAAATGCTTAAATGCCAAAATCAGGCCAGGCTCGGAGGCTCAGCCTGTAATCCCAGCACTTTGGGTGGCCAAGGCAAGTGAATTGCCTGAGCCCGCAGGCTCGAGACCGGCCCGGGCAACTTGGCAAGACCTCATCTCCACAATAAATTAAAAAATTGGCTGGGCATGGTAGCATATACCTGTAGTTCCGACTGCTTGGAAGACTGAAGTGGAAGAATTGCTGGAGCCCAGCAGGCCGGCTCTGGGAAGGCTGTGAGTGTGCCACTGCACTCCAGCCTGGGCTGTGAAGTGAGACTCCAACTCAAAAAAAAAAAAAAAAGCCAAAATCTGTATTGTAGATTATCAGGCAATTGTAGAGTCCCAAGCAACATTACATAATAGGTCATCACAAAAGCTCTCTAGAAAACAGGCCTCCGGCCTAATTTTGATGTGAAGCTGTATAAACCGAAGGGTAAACACTAAGAAGTTAGAAAATGAGGCCATGTACTGTCAAGAACCTAATTTTCAGGAGTGTGACCTGGTCTTATTCTTGAGAGAAACGAAAAACATCTCTTGCAGGTCCACAAACAAATGCCATCCCTGGAAGCTGCATGGGTCTGGTCTTGCCAATGGCTCCAGCAGAGGAAACTCAAGTCCAGCCCTGGCCTGCCACAGATTCAGAGCTGCTCCTGGGAAGTTACCAGTTCACACGCTTCCAAACCAAATGCACCTGAATAAAACAGGAACAGTAACAGAAAAGTCTCCGCTGCTTAGGAGAACCCTTCAAGTGTGAGGGCCATGTATTATACAATTCCATTTATATAACATATTCAGAATAAGCAAATCCATAGAGGCAGAAAGCAGATTCATAGTTGCAAGAGGAGAGGGGAAGGAGAAATTGAAGAGTGACTCTTTAATGGGCAAGGGATTTCCTTTTGGGTTGATGGAAAAGTTCTGGAACTAGAGAGTGATGATGATGGTTGTATGACATTGTGAATATACTTAATACCACTGAATTATATACTTTAAAATGGCTAAAATGATAAATTGTAAATTATATGTATTTTACCACAATAAAAGAAAGAGAGAGAATAGTATCTTCCAATAGTCTGGCCATCTGTTCTACATATAATAAGTATCTTATGAACAGAAAGTACAGATTTGTTAAGGTGATCACAATCATAGCTAAGATGCTAATCTAAATTTCCGATCTTCTTTTTAGTGACCTTTAGTTTGGGAAAAACAATCATAAACATTTATCTCCCATTTATCTGGGATGACTATAGAAAGTTGTCTTGTACAGACATCTGCAAACCTGAATAGTGGTTCAAAAAGTAATCTAAAAGCCCCAGTGTCTATCAACAAAAAATTTCAGAACACAAATATTCTTGGGCCTCTCCTAGACCAAGTGATTCAGAACATCATGGCTCAATATGTTTTAAAAGTGCCCTGGCTGAGTGGAATGTAGAAGCTGCCAGGATTGAGAACCACTGATCTAGGATGAGCAGAGAAGGAAACCGGCTACTATCAAGTGCCCACCATGTGCCAGGGGCTGTACTAGCCCTTACACATAGCACCTACAGCTGAGGGTGCCCCCAAGAGGACGACACTCCTGGACTTTTTCTGGCCTTGAGCATGGTGGTCCCCAGGAACAGCACTCAACCCTTGAGAGAGAGGAGATCAGGGCAGATACCCCACTTTCCTTACCCCTTGGGTGGAATAACTGAGGCATACTGTAAATCTTGGGTAAGAACATTTTTTCTGTATAGGACCAGATAGTAAATATTTGGGGCTTTGTGAGCTATATGGTCTCTGCTATAAACCACTCACCTCTGCCTTTGTAGTGAGGGAGCAGCCATTGACAATGCTTAAATGAATGGGTATGGCTATGTTCCAATAAAATTTTATTTTTAAAAAAGCAGACAGTAGCCAGGCAAAGGTGGCCCACAGCTGTGGTATCAGTTACCTGGGAGACTGAGGTGGGAAAATAGCTTGAGCCCAGCAATTCAAATTCATCCTGGGCAGCATAGCAAAACCCTGCTCTAGGTCTACACAGATTTCCAGAATCCTCATCTAAAAAAAGTCCTAGTTTCCTGTGGTAGGAACCCATCCCTAATAATACCATATGTATATGTGTATATGTACAGGCTTCTTCCTTTCCCATGACGCCTGGGATCACTTGCTATAGAAACTACTTGCACTCAAATCCTTGTTCCAGAGCCTGCTTCTGAGGGCACTCAACCTATATCAGTATTTAATTTAAACACATAACTACTCTAGCAGTTAAGATCATTTCCATTTTCCAGTAAGAAAGTTGAAGTTAAAGGAATGCACAATTCATAAGCAACAGAGTTCATAAAATAAATCTATCTGGTTCCAAAGTTAATGCTCTCTCTACGATACTGCCAAGGTAAGGATGGATATAAACAAATACACACACACACACACAGTCAAACATATAGTTTTAATTATGGTAAGCAAGAGTACTGCATATGGAAAACCACAAAGCAAAATCATACTACTCATGTGATTACTGATCTATGTCAAGGAAGGGGGTTTAAAATAAATAATAACAATAGAAATAGTAAGATTTGATGGCATAGAAAAAATGTTTTCCTCTTTTATACTTTTTCTTATTTAGAACAGAATTCATTTTCCACCTCCAATTAGTTGCAACCTTGGTAAACCTTAGGTGAAATCTTTGGTTATTCCTGGGAACAAGTACAGCCATTCAAAGTCAAGCTCTATGTGTAACTTGGAATCTGAAGAGAAAGGAACTAGATTAAAATATCTTCTTACATATTTTAACACAGGAGTGGAGAGGGAGTGGCAGTAATTTCACAAAGTTCCCATAAAGGCACTGGTGAAATTCCCCTATTCTCTGGAATCCCAGATTCCAGAGAACACCCAGAAAACCCAGAACGAGCACATCCGCAAACCGGTGTTTCAGCTTACGCGGTCTTGCCCTCACTGTCGTGCTTGGTGGCGTTGGCCCCCTTCTTGCCCAGCAGTGAGGCCACTTTCTCCGCGTCTCCATTCTCCACGGCCTGCAGCAGCCGGTCATCATTCTTGTTCCACTCATTGGTCTGCGGAGAAAAGGAGGAAACAGAGGTAGTGAACAGTACCGGCCACAGTCACGCTGTACAGCAGAACGTTGGTCTCACTGAACAGCTGGACATTGGTCCTCCCAACCCCCCTGCCATCCTGTAGCTCAAATCCAAACCAGCCCAAATGAGCAACTCTAAAAATACCTTCTCTCTCACCATGGAGACACCCAAGAAGGCTGCTTTCCCAAAAGAAAACATCAACAGTTCAATGAAATTGCGGCCAATAAGCAAACCATGAGATAAAGATACTTCTTTTAACGAATGTTGGGAAGACCAAGCAACAGACAAGACCTCAAGGCCAGTTTACACATTAGCTAATTTCTAGCTGAGCTTGACAGCTGTTCCTCAGGACATTAGCCTTTAACCTAGTCCACAGCTCCCTCCCTCCAGCATGTTACAGAATCAAACTGGCCAGCAGCTCAAGGTTACCCAAGGGTTTATGGACACACAATCCTCCGTCTGCTTTTATTGCCTCTCTTTCTGGCCTGTTTACTGGACCCTGATTTGGGAGCTGGACACTGAAGTTAAGTAGTTGTCCAGGCGACTGACGCAACAAAGGATCACCAGAAACAAAACTTCTTCCTGAGCAAGCTATTAAACATCAAGCAGCTTTGAGTGAAGCCTCAATCATCATCAACCCCAAACCCCAACTGAGTAATTCTGCAAACAGCAGTAACAGTAAAGCTTTCATGTGTGTAAAACTAGTTTCTACTCTTAGGAGGGAAAGAAAACAGCAAATGGGCCTTGAGTATAAGACTAAGAAGTTTCAAACGTGAAAAGGCAGCAGTGAGCCATTGAAGGTTTTGGAGCAGAGGAATGAGAGAATAACAGAACCAGTGATTGAGAAAGTCATTGGAAGGTATATGAAGCAAACGGGATCAATGCGGGGAGAGGGAAGGGGTAAAAGATGCCAGACATATCAGTCCCTGGGCACCTTGCAGGCCCAGGCTGTCTTCCAGCCTCCCTTGCAACAGGTCCTGAGCTAAGCCTACTTTCTGGTCCCTTCAGCTGTGGACCCCATCACCCTAGAACAAACTCTTCTTCCCTTCCTGAAGCATTCTACAGACTCTCTGCTTCCTCGTGACCTCAGAAGAAATGAGCCGCCAGGTTTTTCATATTAAAGGCTTTAACCTGGGCCCCTACAAGAAAGCAGACATAGGAGATATTGAAGATTTAAAAGCTAAAACAAAGTAATTTTACAGGACAGCAGTCTTTCATGGCACCAGGAGTATGTTCCCAATCTCTGCACTGATGGATGAAAGAAAGTCAACAGGACTCTGCCCTTTCACAGAGCAAGGATGGGTCCAGTCACCTTCCCAACTCTAGCCCAGATGCAGCCCTTAAAGAAAGTCGTAGGCCATGAAGGAGTAAAATAGATGTGCCCAGAATCTGCATCTCTGAGAGTTTCAGGACTAGGCCATTCCCAGTTCTCAGGACTCTTTCCTCCCCCATGGACATCACTGAATGCACGAACAGAGTAAGAATGAAGTAGGTTTGAATGAAAATTAGCAGCTTATTCTCCAGGCTGCATGAACTTGAAGTTCAGAACTCAAGACTGACACATGTTGTGTGACCTTAAGTCATCCATAAACTGTGCCTGTTTCCCAAGAGTTTGGACAGGATGTCCACTATGATTTCTCTAAAGCTCAAAATCCTCTCTTTACAAAATTTCCCAAACCAAACTTTGATAGGGAGTATTCTAGAACAGGGTCTATTACTGGACCCTGATTTCATAATGAAAATGTCCTGTATCTGTGCTGTCTAATATTACAGCCAAAAGGCCAGTGATTCTCAACCAGGAGTGATTTTGCCCCATGGGGACATTTGGCAATCTCTGGAGACATTTTTGATTATCATGTCTAAAAGAGTGCCACTGACATCTAGTAGGTAGAGACCAGGGGTGCTCCTGAACATCCTACAATGCACAAGACAGCACCTAAAATGTCCATATTGCACTGAAAATGCTTAATGGTCACAATGCTTAGTGGCTAGTACTACTGAACAAGTGAACTTTTAATTTTAAGTTAAGACCTCAGGTGCTGGTAGCCAGGGACTACCATATAGAACAATACAGCTCTACATGACTACCTTCATATTTTTATCAAAGTAAGAATGTGTCTGGGTCAACAACCTCTGTACTTCTCCTACAGTAATTTATGCACAGAGAACACATTAGGTGTCATCTTTAGTGTCAAATCAGGTTTCCTATTGAAGGGGAATACAAGAAATATATCACCCCTGACACAAGCATTTATTAGTAGAATAGGAAGCTTTACTTAATGACACCTGTACAAACTGTAGCAAATGAGCAAATACCAAGAAACAAATTGCAGCTTATTTCTCCTGGAGTGCATGCTACATGGGAAAAAATAGTATACTGAAGAACATTTAGGACCAATGATCCCTACCTATATTATCCTAAAAGAGAAAAGCACTGTCTTTCAAAATTCTTTTCTAACCTAAACTGACCAAATTAAAACTGGAATGGGGAGATCCAAAAGATATTATTTCTAAGAGGACAGGACTACAGAACTGAAAGTACGTAAACAAAGGAAAGGCTGTATGAAAGGATTTTCTTTTCAGTGTTGCTGAGGCATTCCACTTTTTTTTTTTTTTTGAGTTGAAGTCTCACTCTTGTCATCCAGGCTGGAGTGTAATGGCACGCTCACAGCCACTGCAGTCTTGACCAGCTGGGTTCAGGTGATCCTTCTGCCTCAGCCTTCCAAGTAGCTGGAACTACAGGCATGCGCCACCACTTCCAGCTAATTTTTTGATTTATTGCAGAAACGAGGTCTCACCAAGTTGCCCAGGCTGGTTTCAAACTCCTGGGCTCAGGCAATCTTCTCACCTCAGTCTCCTGAAGTACTAGGAGTACAGGCTTGGGCCACCTTGCCTTGCCTTGCACTCCACTTTTAAGTAGAGGAAAATCTGATTGCAGGGGTTCCCTAAAATTAGCTCCACAGGGATATTTAGGGAGTTCAACTTCTGTAGGACATGGCAGGAAAGAGTACCTTTTCCGCTGCTCTTTGGAAAACAAGATCAATGGCATATTCCATGAGGTCTGAAATGCGTTTCCTTTATCTGAGTCTCTCTTCAGGGACACTTGGAACAGATGAATTAGGGAACATGGCTACCCACAAGCAAATATTTAATAAATAATCTGCAACATCACTCAATCTGTAAGTGGTACAGACAGGGCTCACGGGAAGCAGCAAGGAGTAAAAGAATACATGCTTATACTTATTGGAGGGCTTAGAGTTTGAGCCAAGAGAAGAATGGTTTAGAGCAAATCGGAAAGGTGAAGGCAAACCTAAAGAGGAAATGGGGTGAGGGTCTAGGGGAGGTGGGAGCAGTAGGTCATAGGTTGAGAAGGGAAAGGAAAGAAGGTAAGAGTTTTACTCTTAAAATTCTCACAAGTATACAAAAGAAAGAGGTCAAGAACGGCCCCAATTAGACCTCTGATCCAGGAATCTGCCTTCTGATTTGTGACAAAATTCTCTAACTCTGGGCCAGGCCACAGGACATACTTTCAATGAACTCTGGTATGCAAGACTGGCCACACCGTGCACCTTCCAGGACAGACTCAAGATGCTATCACTTTCCTAAGCTTGCCCATGGAGATACTTCCTGTATTTTCTCCTATATAACTGTTCTATCTAATGTTATATTCTCTACCAAAAATCCTACAGCCAAACACAGCATGAGACAAAACAGATGTTTAGTAAGTACTTTGAGTTACAGCTCTTGGGAATTCAGAAGCAAATTCCTCTATCCCACCCCCATCCCTCTGCTGAGTGGTACTACATTGAAATAGAGCATCAAAAGACATCTCAAAAAATCGGCTTGGTCAATCAACTGTTCAAAGGTAGAGTTGGTCAGATAAGCAGGTGAAGTCTGAAATTCTGTCATAACATCACAAAGTAATTCATTCATGCTACAGAATCAAGGACAGCTTCTGGAGACCACTAACATATAACAGTTGTATCACCTCTCACGACTTTCTATGAAAATTCTCTCCTCTAATTTGCATGCCCTCCATGGGATGGGCTTAGTTCCGCCTTCACAGGGGGCTCCTGGTCCTCTTATAGTTTTCAACATACGAATGGGTTAATCTAACATATTAAAATATGAGTTAGAAAGAAAAACAGATGCATCACATTTGATAAGGTTAAATGCTTAATGAAACTTTTATTTATTACATGTATGTGTATGCTATATAAAATATAAAATATATTCCTTACCAGAGAATCACAATAAAAAAACACTGGAAGCCACTGCATTAAGAATGCTCTGTCATCCCATCCACCCACGCAAAGGTTTATTCTAAAGCCGAACTCAAGGCCTGAGGCTCTCTTGAGCCTGTCCTGGTGACCTCTCTCTGTTTCTCTACTCCATCATGTCCCAGAGGGCCCACCCACTGATCCCAACTGAAGCCCACTGTCTAGACTTGATGAAATATCACATCCTGGTTTTTGTTTAAGAGTTCTCATTTTGTCTCCTGTCCCTGAAGGCACTGACAACAACCTTTATTTGTTACCCCCATGGTGCCTAGTAAATGCTCGGCATTTGCTGCTGATTTGAGCTGAAGGTTCCTCCTCATGATTAACTTAAATCTCTCTTGACTTGGCAAAAAACTTGTTTTTTCATGTTCACACTTGCAAACGTTCATACTTGCAAACAATTATTTAACTAGGTTTCTGATTTTTGTATAGGCTAAATAAATCCAACTCCCTTAACTTTTCTCCAAAAGGCCAATTTTCTAAGATTTTAAATCTCTTCACAACAAAGGAGCCAAGCCTTACAAATTCAATCAGGGTGAAGCCAGTGTCTCCAGTGACAAGAATTACCTGGGTGACTGTTTTGTTTTGTTTTGAGTCGGAGTCTCACTCTGTCACCCAGGCTGGAGTGCAATGGCACACTCAGGGCCTCTACAGCCTCAACCTGCAGGGCTCAGGCGATCCTTCCACCTCAGCCTTCCA